CTAATTCACACACAGATACATTACATTACCCTGCCTTCACCCCCCCCCCCCGACCACCCACTGCACCCCCCCATGTCCACCATTCAAACCATTTGATTCATCCTCAATCCATTCATCTGTTTCCTCTCACCCCCCTCCCCCACTTCCTCCCCCTCATACCTGCACAGCATCAGTGGAGGGATGCAGAGCGCGCGCCTCAGAGACGTCCAGAGGTTTGAGGAGGAAGAGAGCGGCGCAGAGCAGCACAGGACACAGCATGGCAGCGGAGGAGGAGACGGAGGAGCAGCAGGAGAATCTGGAAACACAGCAGCTGCCAGGGAGAGAGGGGGAGACAGAGGGGGAGACAGAGGGGGAGAGAAGGAGGAAAGTGATGAAAAATGATTCACACAAAGGGAAAAAATATTTAATAAAAAAAAACGATCCTGAGTCGTATCTGCAGCAGTTTTAGGGAAAAGAAAAACAACAACAGAGATGCCAAAGTAATTGATTGTTAAAATGACATTCTTCACAAATGACATTTGAATATATATATAAATATATATGTATATATTTGCAGTTCAAAATAAAATCATTACATCTGTTAAAAATCATCAAAATACAAAATATTTTTCCATTAGATGTTAATTTTCTCAGATCTGTTTACGAAGCAGTTGCAACAATTAAACCGTTTGACACTTAATAATATTATACATATATATATATATTTATATTTATAACACTCAACCCTAACACTCAACCCTAACCCATCTGTGACTGGTCCTCTAATTGGAGAGAAATAAAACTTGGTAGTTGATATAATTAACATGAACTAAAAACTAAACATTTCAGTAATGGTAAAAAGATAAATCTGTAAACATTTCTTTTAAAAAAAAATTAAATAAATCAGAATTTAAACATTTTTAAAAAGACAAAAGTCTCTCTTCAACATCTGTCTCAAACTCAAACGACATTTAAAATAAAACTAAAGTTTTTGTCCGGCTCTGGTTCTGAGGTGAAGATGCGAGCGCTCACCTGAGGTCGGACTCGGAGGGTCTTCAGCCTTCTACAGAATCTGCTCCATCTCACACTCTTTTGGGCTCGGAGCTCGTCCTCTCACTTGGTGGCACCTGCCTGGAGCATCACTATCTCTCCCCCTGACTCCTCCCACTCCTCGCTCAGTGACGGAGGCGAGGGGACGATCTCTCTCCTCTTCTCAAAGCTGGATGGATGTTGAGGCATCAGCAGAAAAGCTGCGGCGCTTTTTTTTTGAGGGGGGGGCAATCAATCACCCCTCCCCCCATACCACCCCCCCAGCCCACCTTTTCTTTGAGGTGATGTCATCATGTTGGGCTGTGATTGTCATTGTCAAGGAGATGGTGTGTACTGGACCACACACCTGTACCACACAGTGACCACGTCAAGGTCAGAGGTCAGCGTCAGTGTTTTCACACTTTTTTTTTTTGGTGCTCCTCAGCCTCCTTCTCTCCCCTTTGTGTCGGTGCTGGTTCCCAGCATGCCCTGTCCTGCCGTCTCTGTGGGCTAAGTTACAGTCTGTCAGTGCCATCTGCTCCCTTTACCCCCCGTCGCCAGATTACAACAGCAGCAGCAGTGGGGGCGGGGGGGCAGGGGGGCATCCAACACACGGACCTTCGACAGCCCCCACTTATTTCAAGTAAATAAACCCCTGTAATTAGACTGGAGCTGTGACTCATGTCAGTCTAATGACACGTGCACTGATGAACCGAAGTGGCGCTGACGTCTGATTGGCCGCAGAGCCGCGTTCACGACTGCAGAGTTTTTGTGGTTTAAATTCAGATGAACTCCAGCGTCTGGTCCTCGGTGAGTGTTTTTACATAACATCACATACAAAAATCCCCTCATCTTTTTGGAGAGAGTGTGTGGGAGAAGGAGTGGGCGAGGAGGACAGATTAGTGATGGGGAGCGGAGGGAGGGAGGAAGGGAGGGAGGGAGGAGGTTAATCTACTGTACAAGTGTGGAGCAGAGGAGGAGCAAAAGTAAGTGGGAGAGGAGCAGAGGAGGAGAGGAGCCTACAAAGGAGATTGATTACAGGAGAACCGAGGAGGAGGAGGTCTGGGAAACGACAAATGTGTCAGACAGAACAAGAGGAGATGAGGAGGAGGAGGAGGGAGCAGGTTCTTCCTCCTCTTCATCTCCTCATATCCATGTGATGACACTGCTGTGGTGAAGAAGACAAAAATGAAAGTGCAGCAGTAACCCTGTCCGCAGCAGCTGTGACGGCCGTTAAACACCGCTGTCCAAACACCGCGCACAAAAAAAACGCTGCTCGTAAAGATCGGCTAAATTCACTGGACACCTCTGGGCCCACGCCCCGCCCCCTGCCCCACATTGGCCCGTGTCCACCAGGGTCTGTGAGTGACAGCTCAGAATCAGGCGGCCGTGTCGACACGATGGTTTATTAGAAACATGTGACAGATGTGAGCCAATCACAGTCGACCGACAGCAACAGGTAAGAAAAAAAAAATTTTTTAAATTTAAATGCTTCGAAAAAGCCCTCCCCTCCCTCAACACCCCCTACCCCCCATTTAAAGAAAGGATTAAAAAAATAAAATAGATAAAAACATACAAACAAACAATAATAAAATTAGTTTCTGAGGCGAGTTCGTCTGGAGGTGCGGGCGATGGGCGTGGTCACTTTAGGCGTCTCGCTCTCTGCCATGACAGCATCTGAGGGAAACAGTTCAATCACATAATTAGATATTTTCACAGATTTTTTTTTTGAGTATTGCAAGGCCAGTTGCAATACTCAATACTGTCAGTAGTGGTCACTGCTGTTGTGAAAGTTTCCCGTCAGAACTCACCGTCTTCATCTTCCTCCTCATCACTGCTGAAGGTGATCACTGGTTTCTTGGACCGACGAGTATTTTGTGGAGTCACAAAACTGTCATCGCTGCATCGAGAAGTTGAAGGTTTGGGTTGACCTGAGAGGAACATGAGGTCGGTTTGTTTACATCATCACAGCTCCACACACCTGATAAATGTCTCCGTTCTAGGTCGGTTTGTTTACATCATCACAGCTGCCACACAAACCGGTTTCTGTCTCTTTATCTTTAAATTGCGGGGCCTTCATGTAACCATAGCAACAGTTGGAGCGTCAATTTTGTCTGATATTTAGTCTTTTAAACTAACTAAGTTGATACGTTAATATGCCCCTCCCCCTTTGAGTCGTAGCCATTAAACCACCGACCTCTTCTGCTTTTGGCGCGGCCGCGGGCGGGCAGCGGCGTCCGCAGGGCCGGCATCTCGGACGATCCGCTTTTCTGGTTCTCCTCCTCGTTCTCGGGGCTTTCCACGTTCTCCAGCCCCCGCGTGTGAACGGCCGTCAGCAGCTTTTCAAACTCTTCCACCTGGGCCTTGTTTTAAAGAAGCAAAGATGATTAAACATGGGGGGCGGGGGCAGGACAGGGTCAAAAACAGACAAACATACACGATGTTCCACCTTGAACTGGAGCTTGGCGCCGCGGCGGAGCTTGGCCACGATGGACATCAGAGGTTGGTAAACGCCGGGCTCCGTCAACTTGTCGCTGTAACACTCCCAACATTCCTGCAGCCTCTTGAAGCCGCGTTCGCACATGGAGAGCAGAGACAGGGACACGGCCAAGTCGCACCACTGCCGCTCCGTCCTGGGGAGGGAAGTACGAGGGTATGAAGGTATGTGAAGAGCACGGAGACGTCGGCGTCCTCGCTGTAAACCTCATTTAGCTCTTAGCTCCTGACTGAGGCTCTGCGGTGGTCTTTGGACCAAATCTCATTTTCTGGGAAGCTCAAACATCTAAATTCACTTTGCCATTGTGTGTAATCTAAAATGCCCTTCCTGTGGGCACCGGAGTACGGCTGGATTATGAGTCAGAGGAGGACTGAAGCCCCGCAGAGCCGCCCCTTCTCCACCGCTTCTTTTGGCTCCGCAAAAAGACAGTTTCCATGACAAAAAGCTGGGGAGACATCAGGCCGTAGGTGACGGATGAACTGAACTGTGAACTATCTGTAATTGTCCGTCCCTCCTCGCCCACTAATTACCTCACACACCCACATCTGTGCTGTGCACAAATGATGCACGAAACACTGAGGCGGGAAACAATAGATGGAAGAAAAGAAAAAAATGAAAAAAGAAAAGAGTAGAAAAACCAGAGGTGGAGGTCGACGGTGTGACGACTGGTAATAGCAGGGTTGGATGTACTCACTTGGCAGTCCTGAAGCGCTGACACAGTTTCTCTACCAGAGACTCCGTCTGCCGCTCTTTGGTGATGTACGAGAACAGCTGCCTGAACGCACACACACAAAAGAAACAGAGGTGGAACAAAGCTCTGGGTTTGTTTTTCAATTCTTTTTTTTTTTTTTTATAGACACCACTTTTTAAACACACGCTGAATTGTTCCCAACAGTGAAGAGACTGAAGCCTGAGCTCCAACCTACTTCATGATGGTGTTGAAGTCCTCTGCACTCATGCCTCTCTCTGGATCAGACAGGCGACTGATGATGTCTGGGAGAAGGTTGTAGATGGCGTTGTCCTGATGGACGACAGAGACCAGGGAGTCAGAACCCGTCCAATTAGTCCTGCACCACAAAGATCTGTCTGTGTGTGTGTGTGTGTGTGTGTGTACCTTGGTGGACAACTCATTGAAGAAGTTCAGTGCCAGGCTGGTGATGTGGGGCTCGGGGTCAATTAGCAGCACCGCCATCTCACTGACTTGACCTTTGACCTTCAGAACATCCTTCAGCACCAGCTGAGTAAGAACCGTCACGGCCGTCTGCCTCACTGAGGGCACCTCATCGCTGAGCCTGAGGAGGGGGGAAAAGGGGCAAAAAAATTTTTTTTAAACTATATACAAAATAAAAATCATATCTTGAACCTCCTCCCTACACCCCTCAAAAAAAAAATTAATAAATAAATTTGTGACTTCAGTGTAAAGAACAATCATGATAAAATCGTAATGTGAAAATATATATATATAAAAATATATATATACTGTACATATAAAAAGAGTTTTTTTTTTTACAAAAGTGAAAAAACAATCAAACCCCATTTCAAACTGACAGTCGAGGCTTCATCTGAAAAAACAATAGGTGTGGACAGGAAGTGACACAGCCAATCAGATGTCATTCTTGGAGCATAAAAAAAAAAAACCACCGCAGAACAAAAGAAACTCATTAGCGTCCCTGGTCCCTGCCACGGAGCAGGACTCCTGGCAGAGGATCAGACGACACGTACATGGTCCTCGTACATACCAGTACAAGGACTCGGCACAGTGAGGAACGGGGTAATTAATTCCTAATGCCCTTATCAGGCGGCTGCAGGACGGCAGCTGTGAGACGACTGATTCCTCAGGGCGCAGGAGACAATTAAAGGAACGCTGCAAAAATACTTATCAGGGAGAAAACACCGGGGAGGGGGGGGGAGCGACGCATTATGAAGAGAACAAAATGTTTCACCCCCCCTCAAAAAAAAAACAACTCATTGTGAGAGTCATCAATCATAGTAAAAAACTGCACTTCTTCAGAAGAAGGAGCTTCAGCTTCAGCCTTGACTACAGGGAACCTGGGTAACAGGTGCAGAACAACACTGAAAACAAACCTGTACCTTTTGTATTAAATGTTAGTGGTGTAAGAAATTATGGATAAACCTGAACTGATTTTCCTACTTTTAAATCATTCAAAAAAAAAAAAACTCAATTCATCGATGTTCCTACAGCGTCACAATATATCACCATATCGTATCGTCGCCCTTGTATGGCCACACCCTGGTCTTAGCCACACCAAAGCCCCTCCCCAGTTCACCAGGGCTGGATCTCCACCCTGGTCAGTTCCCATAGCAACCACAGAGGGCAGAATATCAGTGCCATTACAGATCCTCTCAAAGTTTGCCTTGCAAATTCTTTATTTTTAAAGAAATCAAAAAGCGAAGCTGAAAGTTAACTTTCTCCCCCCCTCCCTCCCATTATGTCGCTCGGTGGAGCAGTGTGACAGCCCCAACACATCAGTGGCTGAAAACACCAACTCGCTCCGACACGGTGGTGGGATCTGAATGTGGATGGTTTTAAGTTTACACGCCTCAGAGAAGTGCTGGCTGGGATTAGACGTCAGTTAAAGTCCACCCACTCACAGCTTCTCCTTCATCAGCTGCAGCGTGTTTCTCTATATGCTCCAAGTCTATAGATATTATGACACTGTTTAGGCAGTTATGAAGAGATTAATTAGTGAAGACAAATAACCATCTGGATCGACGATCTGACCAGAATCAGAGACCAAATACCTGGCGTAGAGGTTCTGTGTCCACGGCTCCAAGATGTTAGGGAATCGAACAGTCAGGTCTCCCAGGGCTATGACAGCGTTAGCCCTGACAACTGGGAAAGAAGTTCGCTCCAGGACTGTGAACAGGAGGCGGATGTTCTTCTCACACACAGATGGGCTGAAAAAATACAAAGAGTTATATTTACAGCTAGAAAATATCAGTTTTTATATACATATAAAAGAGCTCCCTTTGAAATTTATTATTATTATTATTTATCGTTTATTTTGTATTTTTTTAATTGCCCCCCTCCCCCCTGTGATATACCTGATCATCATGTACTGAGAGAGTGCCAGACAGGCAGCAGTGGTGAGCTGTTGGTGGGAGAAGCGTCCTGGGGAGCTGCACACTTTCACCAGCAGGGGCAGAAATGCACTCAGCAGGTTTTCCTCTAACAGACAAAAGAAATGAGACGTCAAAGTGGAGGCACGAAAAAAAACAAAAACCCACTGCAGGAGATTCTATCCTATAACCAGATCCAGGATGTTGTACTAGTAAATATTTTTAATTACCAGCCAGTAGTTCAGTCTCACAGATCTTTCTGATGAGTTCGGCCTCCGTGTCCTCTGCTGAAGCCCCCACTAACCCCAGCTCCTCCTCCATCGCGCTCTCGTTAGCTGCTTGCTGCAGAAAGACAGGAAGGTTTGATGAAAACATTGTTCAGGTTTTCAGGAGGAACGTCCACGTGACGTGTGAAAATGATATTCACCGTCCAAAGTTGAATATTTTATACATTTGAAGACTGACATGAAGAAGAGTTGAGGTTAAATTCTTCTTCTTCAGCAGAAGTGTAACTTAAAATGTTTAGGTTCAGAACTTCCATGTCAACATAGTGATGAATGTTTTATGAAACGTCACAACTTCATTATTATTATTATTACAGAACATATTTTTTGTTTTATGCCATTTAACCCCCGTGCCTTCACTTATCGTGGGAGAATAAAAAAATAAAATCCAAAAATACTCATTAAGGCAACATTTATCTTCCAGTTTCCTGATGGGCTGAACGTCAATCATCTGACTGTGTCATTAAAATGAATGTCATCAAGTCACCCCCCGCTGGGATCCGGTGTAATTGTCACCGTGTTTTGACAAATGTGAATCATTTAACTCGCTGTATCTGCAGGAAACAGGCGACGACAGGCAACGACTCGTAAACTTCAGTTGATTTTTTTTCTACAGCCATAAACAATCAAGTGACACCTGCTGATTACCAGTTAGTTTTTCTTTTTTAATCATCTTCATCAAGACGATTCCAAATAACTTTCATTGAGGACACAAAAAAAATGTTTATTTTAACATCAATAACCAATAATTTTCCTCCTTCAGACCAGTGTCTATACATAAGTTATTTTTAGACTAAATTATTCTGATTCAACATTTGGTCTGATAACTGACAGTTAATGAACAACCACACTGTCACTACCTAGATCTAAATTGTAGGTTTACTTTCAGGTTGGAAGAACAAACAATTACCCAGCATGCAACAGAAGATCAGTTAGCAGGGCACAGACGTTGAGTGTTCTCTACCTTGGCTTTGCTGGACGGTTCTTTTTCTTTCTCCTTCCTCTCCTCAGACTCCCCTCTTCTCCTGCGCAGCTCGGTGCTCACGCTGCGCTCCAGGTGGGACACCTGCCAGAAGGCCACGCTGCCGCACAGCGCCAAGAGCTGGGCCAGACACACGCAGCTGACTGACAGAAGCAAAGAGAGGAAAAAAAAAAATATATATCAACCTTCAGGTTATCATGATTTAAGTAATAATAAAAATAAATAATAATAAAACACTCACCCTGTTCACCCTGCTCGTTGGTCTCTTGAGAACCCTCTTGTACCTGGTCTGGTTCTCTGTTGCCCTCCCCACCTTCAGCAATCTGGTCCAATAAGAGGCGAGCGCTGCGCTGCAGCAGCCTGGAGCACAGCTGGTCTGGAGATTCAGCCAAGAAGTAGATGAGACGAACAGCCTGTTCCATGAAGCTCTGCCAGTACGGGTCCTCCATCACCACACCTGGAGCAAGTATCAACAGACGTCAGACAAGGTAGAAGCTGTTAGTGGGAGCAATGCTGTTCTATTTGAACATCAGTTCCTAACTCTGGAACAGAGGGATCTACATTTGGAATCACTAGAGAAGAAAGAAAAGAACAAGAACATGAACCAACACCAGGACTGGGAATTGGGGAGAAAAAAAAAAATCAATAACTGATCAATGACTGAGGAGATTGATATGGGATCAGAAGAGGAGATAGTGATATTTCAGTGTATCCATATTTTCTTACCACCCTAGTATAAGCAGAAATGGACCAAATGGGTCAAAGCTCGGCCGAGGGTAAGTTTGTTTTCGTTACCTTCAGAGATGGCCTGTGTGAGGCAGGTGAAGAGCTGATGGTCCTGAGAAAGTCTGAATGGAGCTCCTTTTGATTGCTGGTTAAAATACAGACATGTTGTATTTACTACAAAACCTAAATTAATACAAACTACATTGAAAAGTACAAAACTTCCAGAAACAAAACAAAAAATAAAAGTAAATTAGCAACTCCTTAACTGGTAGAAGAAAATTAAATCACGAGATATTGACAGCACAGGCTACTTAACATGAGAGTTTTATATCTCAGACAAAAACACTGAAACATGCTTTTAGGGTCCATAATTATGTGAAACCCATTTACAGCCAGAATCATGAATAATCAATGACATTCTAACAATGTCAACACCACTGCTGCAGAGTCCATTAAGGCCTTTAATTACGAGTTCTCACCCTGACGTGGTCAGTGATAGTACAGATGGTTATGACTGTGTCTCTGGCCAGGAGGAAGTCTTCCGTTACTTTTTCTCCCAGGGAGACAGAACACAGAGTGTCCAGATTGCTGAGAACCACCTCCCTCTCCGCCCTGTGGGGGGGTATTCACACACACACACACACACACACGTTTGACACATTTAAATTGGTACAATTTACAGCCCTGGTAAAAAAGAGCATGAAATGATGCAGGGAACGGTAATAACATCTCTGCCCTGTTCAACCCTGACTGCTGCGTGCCGGCCTTGGCAGCGCTGGGCTGCTGCACTGATAATGCATGTAGGAGGACGGTTTAGGAAAAGCACACAGACACACACACGAACACACACATACAGCAGATTTAATATGTTGTGAAAGTTGCCTGCTGGAATGCAGAGAGGGAGCAGTGTGGGTGGACTGCAGATAGTCTCTGTTCGCCTGTTCATTCCTTATAGCTGTGGCACTCTTTGAGGTAGGTTGAGGGAAGGACACACACACACACACAAACGTATATATAAATGTACTGGCGGGGAGCCTAGCTACGGTCGTGACTTTGATTACAACGGAGAGAGTCCGAGGCTGAGCCTGTGTTCTGACTAATGAGAGGATTTGCTGAATGTCAAGTAGTTCAGAAAAAAAAAAAAAAAAAACAATGAAAAAAAGAAGAGGGGGGAAAAAAAAAAAAAAAAAAAGTATCGTGCACAATCTGAGATTTATAGATCGACAAGTATCAAAATCAGTAGTATATATTTTGATATGCAACAAACATTTGTTGGAGCTGTGTATTGTCGAGAATGTGGCGATACGATACACGTCACAATACGTGGCACCGATACGATATATTGCGATACTATTAGCATGACGATGTATTGAGTTGTTTTCAAACAAAAATATAATTAAAAGCAAAACAAAGTCAAAGCCATGACTTATTGCATGATAATTGTTACTAAGCTAACTGTTAACTACCTCACCAGGTCAGACCTGCGTCACCTTCCTGCAAATATTTTTCTACATTAACTAGATATAAAATTACACACCAACTAGGAGCCAATTGAACTGAAGCTCTTGATTTTTTTTCTTTTCACAAATCCTTCACTGAAGCAGCTGCAGTTCCGTCTGCACTTGTTAATGAAGGTCAAGTGTTGGTTCCTTTATTACTTACGTCCTTCAAAAACACTTAAGAAGTAATTGATCATGAAGGCCGTGACAGTGGCAGATGAGATATTGTTTGACCCCAGGAGAAAAGTGAGAAAATTGAAACATGATATGAACACGAGGAAAAACGTAAAAACATGAGGAAACGCCTGAACGACACTGTGACGTAGAGCCTCCATTAAACTTCAGTTTAATTACAGTCTGACGTGTTTTCTCAGCAGCACGCGGTCTCGGTGTCGGTCTTACCGTGCAGCCATGCCCAGCAGTAACACGGCGGCTCTCTTGTGTAGAGTGGAAGTCTCACGTTTTCCCGTGAACCTCTCCCACAGGACCTGGATGACCGTGGTCTGGAGACTGCTGCCACTGCCGAAGAACTCCTGCACCTGAAAGGTGTAGGTGGTTTGGTGACCGGGGTGAGAAACTCAGGTACAAAAACAAATCTATCTGGTATTTTTACCGTTATTCACAGAAATAAGTTGTAAAAAAACAAAAGTCACTCACTATTTCCTCCAGACACTGGATTGTTCCCAGGGACGCATCGACCATCAGCTCTGAGAGACTGTCCACCAGAGTCTGGGCTTTCACTCTGTCGAGATATATTTAAAAATATATATATATTTTTTATTTAAAAAGCATTATTAAATAAACTTCCTATATGAATATCCTTTATTCACTGGGAGCCATTTTAATTCTTGCTCCAGTAAGTACTTGGAATTTACTTTTTTGTTTGAGGGAGAAATCTGTTATTTAATACAAACTTTATTTTGAAAAATCTCCAGAATATATAACTACTAAATCGACCCTTCATACAGTCACCAAAAAAAAAAACAAACTTCAGATCAGTTCTGTTGTGACAGAAACAACTGAATTAAAGAGCTGAAAACCAGACTTAGTTCTGAATACACTGATGTCTGTTCTCAGGTCTACCACCTAGTGGACAGGTGAGGAGTTTACACCTCACCAAGTCACATGATGAACCAATCAGATAGTTCCATTTGGTTCAATCAATGTAACTTCTTTTCCTTTCAGCTTTGTCCCTTTTTTTCCTCTAGGCGTTGCCACAGCGAATCATTGATTTCCATAATAATAATAATAACAACAAATAAATAAATATACTTTTACTAGTATAGAAAACCAGTTTGTACCAGACCTGACGGTGTCTCCTTGAGGGTTCAGGTACAGCCGTCTGTAGGCCTGAACAACAGCATCTTTGATGGCCGTGTCAGTGGACCAGACCAGTGGTAACATCTTCCTGACTCCACTGACAGAGTTGGCGACACCGAACTCACACACCGTCACACAGAACTGCACAGTCCATAGGACCACTAAAACACACACACACACACACTTCATGTGATAGATGTCTAACAAAGAGACAGTGTAGACTGGACCATGTGACCATCTGGTACCTGAGGTGGTCTTCCAATACAGCATGGTGTTGATAACAGAAATGGCTCTCTCCACCTGCAGAGCAAAGGTTTCTGTATCCTTCAGATACTGCACCAGCATCTGCTGCTTCTTCAGCTCCACATCCTCCCCCTCTTTTTCCGGCTCTTTCTGTGGGGTAGGCGGCAGGTTCTGGCTGAGCTCAGCGGCGTCCTCATCAGAGCCTGGGGAGAAAAAGAGAGGACACAAAAAGAGAGAGCCACACGAGGTTAGGAAATTTAGAAATCTCAGGGAGGAAAATAAAAACGCTCAAAAATAAATTATACATTTTTAAACAACACTTCATTTAGAGCCTGATTACAGATAATTGTCTGAGGATGATCTCTGCTGCAGGGCTTTTAGTTTAAGTGCAGCAGCTACATTTACATTAAGGTAGGGGTGTGTGTGTGTGTGAAATCATTATGCAGACTGTGCTGGTGGGGTCAGTGACCGTACTGGTGTTCCAGCATCAGCCAAACTTGTTATGACATTTTAAATTCACAGGTCAACGAGACAAAAATATGTACTTTATTTACAAAGACAGGACAAAACTTTTACTTTCGTTGTAATATTCCAAAAAGATTCCTCATCTGTGGAGTTTTCTCATTTTTTGCTCCCTGGACTTAGGGTGTGTATTGGCAAGAATCTGATGATATGATGTGAATCACGATATGATATATCAATACTATAGATACGACACTGGAACAGAGGGATCTACATTTGGAATACCATCTCATTTGCTCTAAAGAACCCCCCACCCCCCTACTGGGGGGAACCCAGTATTGCCTGCAATAAGAACAAAGGGCTCTTCAGATGAGAATGTACTCACCTTTGAAAATCAGTGCCAGTGTTTCCATTAGTGACTCAGGTGTGAGAGTGGACAGAGATGAAAACCTCTCAGACTCTGGGAAGC